TTGGTTCTTGTGTTTTGGTGGGGGGGGGGGTTGTCTTTTTCTTTGGAATTTTCCTTTTTGAGGCTTATTTTGGCATAAAGTCTCAGGACTTTGGCTTTGAGATCGATCTGTCTGGAATGCTCAGCTCCTGCTGATAGACTGCAGACCCTGCTGGATCGACACAAAAAAAAAAAAACCAGCCTGCCAAAAACGGACCCTCTGCGAAAGATAAGCAGGAAGAAAACTTTGCAGGAGACAAAGTGAAGACGGTGGGTGGGTGGTGGGTGCTCTGATTTGGTTTGCTCCTTCTTTCCTATTAAACATCTATCGTCTTCATCTTTCTTCCTTCTTTTATGTTCGTTTTCTTTTTTCTTAGGGGAAGGGGTGGGTGTTAAGATTGAACCCCGTGTTTTAAAAGTACATGCAAAATAACAGCTAAGCTATAGTGGGTTTTTTAATTTCCAATGTCGTGCTGGTGTGTTTTATTGATGATACAATATTTTAGGCTAATAAATTACAACCGAGTAACCGATGGACCGAAAAACAGAGGACGCGATAAGCCGTGGAGATTTCAATTTCAAGGAGCCAACATTATTAGTGAACTGAACTCTGTAGACAAGGGTGCGTTCAAGGAAAAGTGGCGAGTACTAAATTGGACACTCTCCGTGCATTATAATAGTCTATTCTATAGTATTATAATACTGGAGGGAAAACGTAGGTAATGAAAGTCTGCTTGCTTTTGCAAGGATGAACGTATTGGAACTTGGAGGGAAGGATGAAAATTTAATTCCGATTCATGTTTTATAATACTGTTAGGTTAAGAGTTTCTAGTGAAAGATTGCTATTTTTATATAATGCTTTTTTTTTAATAACTTTTTATCACTGTTCTAGTAGGAGGCCTGAATTTCAATATATTTTACTTGTTTTTATTTTTGATATATTATATTGGTTTTTGTTTTGTATTTAATTTTCAGAAACTTGCTAGCAACAGCTGTGAACCAGTGACTCAATCGACCAGAGAAGGTTCCATACCAAAAGTGTGGGTAAGTGGTTACCGCAGTCTTTCCTTGTGTAGCCCATCTCTCACGTGTGTCCTTTCGTAGCTCAGTTGTTTTGTTTTGTTTTGTTCTTTTATCTTTTTATAATTGTTTTAACTCTTGCTTTCCAGTCGCTTTGTGTTTGTTGTTTGTACGCTACTTTTTTTTTTTTTTTTTTTTTGGTTTTTGTGTATGTGCCATAATAAATGTCCTCCAGATGAGACTTTTCTTTTTGTGAAAGTGTTGCTACTTAACAGTTCTCTGCAACCCTTCTTTTTCATTTCTTTCTTTTTTAAAAATTTGATACACTAATTTCAAATGATCAGGTGGGGCGCTGTGAACCGGAGAAGCAATAAGCCGTCAAGTTTCAATAATAAAGAGCGCGTTATTAGTTCGCGAAAGCGGCGCCACTTTGCTTAACAATGGACGATCATTATTTGATGGAGTCCGCCTCTGAAGCTGTAGGGTGGGGTGGGGTGGG